GGGGGTGGGGGGGGGGGGGAATGCTGCTTCTCCCCATCTGCCCTGTCCACAGCATGCGGTGAGGAAGCATTTACTGAATAGTGGGTTTCTGCAAGGAAAACCTCTGCGGGATATAGGGTCTGCCTGGGGTGACTCCCTCCTGCGCAGGGTTTCCCTGCGAAACATGGCCCTTGGTTGGGGGGGGAGGAGGGGGCCAGTGTTTTGAGGCTTTCCTGAAGTGCCTCGTGCTGGTGCCCGCACCCGCAGCACCCAGCTGGACAACCATCCCCCCCACCAAAACCATCCCACGCGCTGCATGGGGCCCCCTGCATCCAGTGGGAGCTGCTGTGCCCAGGGCGGCTCTGCTTAAAAGGGAGGGATTAGCTTGGAGAAACATTGCCCTAGTCCGCAAACTAGGAATGTAAAACATCAGTTATTTTGCTTTTTTTGTTTTTTTTTTTGAATCTATGCAGAAAAAAAAAAATCTTCGGGAATGCTCATGTCCCTCTATCCCTTGGTTGTCTTGATGCTGTGATTTGCATGCAAAGGTATCTAGCTGCTGGGATTTTTTTTTTTTTTTGTATTGCTGCTTTGTAATATGTCTGTGTTTTCAGTGCTCTGAGGCCAAAATTGTCACCATGGGGGCGCACAAAGGGAGCCGCTGCAGCAAGTGGTTTTTCCCGGCGTGCCTGCGGAGCATCTGCAGTTTGCAGCTCAAATGCCAGCGGTGCAGGCACCCGAAATTGGGGTGCCCAGCTACTGGCCTCCATTCCTGACTGCAGATTTAAATTATTCACTTCTAAAGCCCCAGATTTGAAAGGTTTGGTCTAAGCTTTAAAAAAAAAAAAAAAACCCACCCAAAACCCCAAGTGGGGTGTGTTGCCAGTGGGTGCTGTGGCGGGGAGGGGTGTGGGCGAGCTCAGCCCCCCTCCCCCCCCCCAGCCCACTCGCACCTCTGCTTCCAGGACACTTGGTCAGGACGCCGAGGCAGATGGGAGTTTTGTTAACTTGCTAAGTGCCTTTAACTTGATAAAGAAACGTTCGCAAAATGTGTTTCTGCGGTTAACCGGCTGTTGATGCCTACCAACCTTTTTCTTTCCTGTTACATCTTTAGAAGTTTGCTTTTTTTTTTTTTTAAACAAGAGACTGTTGCTGGGTTATTGCATCTTCTTGGATCTCTGGCCAATGTACTCAAGTATCGTGCTGACATGTATGATGACAATGCTGTAGAAGTCATGGATTAAATTACCTTTTTAAAAGACAAACGTATTGCGTGGTGTTTGTAGCCGCTGCCGTTCTCAGCCCCAGGGGGCTTTTGCTGCCGGGCGGCTGGTCGGTCCTTAGGAGTGGGCATTTCCTGCAGCTGTTTCACAGTCTGCAGTGAGTGCTTAGGGAGCAGGCACAGCAGGTTGTAGCCCTGCAGCTGGCCGTTGCCCATTTCCCCCATTTGGGGGAAAAAAATGACCAGTGACTAGAGCAGAAACCCTAACCTCTCCTCTGTAGGGTGTCATGCGGAGCACCCAGCAAACATTTTTTTTTTTTTTTTTTTTAATACTGGGCCTGTCTTCGTAAGGTCCCTGACACACCAAACGGACTGGTTTTGGTATTTGCCCCTAGAGACTGTCTTGGCTCTCTATCTATCTGCTATATTTATAAATCTTTGAGAATCTGATTCTGAACTTCAGTTTCTCTCATTAAAGCACCTAATTTTCTGTGCAAAAATTGTGCAGAATGGCTTCATCCAGCAACTCCCTTTTATACTATATTTATTCAAGGCAAACCATGATTTTTTGACTAATTTGCCCTTGCTTTTGAGAATGCAGGGAAGAATTAAAACTTTGCCCAAAATTTGCATGTCAGGGTACCTGTAAGTTAATATCGACCTAAAAACAGACTTTCCCAGAACACGCATTTTATGGCCTATTCCTTTCTCTGTGTGGGTCCCACTTCCCGTGTCTCCGGTAGCCTTCGCCTGTGTGTTTTCAGTTCCTCCTGCCCATGCCCCTTCCAGCAAATGTAAATTAACTTGCATGGGATGCTCAGCTCCGCACCGTGTGTTTTCCTTGTGCAGGCTGCCTTGAGCTGGCCGGGCACGATGGAAGAGCCTGTTCCTGTTCAGGGAAAAGTACCTATTCAGACTAAAAGTCACCAAAAGTACCTAATGCAGTCAGCAAAAAAATTACCCGAAGTAGCTAAGCCGAGGACTATCCTAGAGGCCGTTCGAAGCTGCAGGGGACGTGGCTCCCTCAAGATTTCAGTTCCACACATCTATTAATTTTGGCGCAGAAGCGGCCGCGGGGCTGGCACGGTGGGGATGCCACGGGGGACGCGGGAGTGGCGTTTGGGGCGCAAGCGGGAGACGTGCCCCACCATCCCAGCAGTCGCCCTTTCCAGCCATGCGCTGGCAGTGCCGCCATCAGGTCCAGGAACGGGGCCTCAGGCTCGTCTCTCGGAAAGGGTTAGAAATTACTCATTTTTCACTGGTCGTCCTGGGGCCGACGCTTCCCTGGAAATAGCAGGAAGGTTTCCAGTGTTGCCACGGGGCGGGGAAGCTGCTAAGCAAATGGCTGGCGGTGTAGCGTGCAATTCATTCTTATTCTGGCTCACTTTGTTTTTCTTCTATGAATGCGGCATTTACACTCTTCCACTTGGGACTCACACTATCAGTGCTGCAACCGCGGAGCCAAATTCCCCAGAAAGAGCCTCAAAGGGCTCTCGGTCAAAAGGTTTCCTCTCGCACAAGACGACCCGCACAGGTGGTGATGAGCGATTTCTGTAATGCCAGCAGCAGTTACACACACCCAGGCTACAAGAACTCGGCCGCCGAAGAGGAGTTCTGCCTAAATGCTGCTTTTCTGTCTGTTTTTCCTTAGGTGACAAAAGCGAAAGCCACGTGCCTTGCAGCAGGGCTTGAGGCGTTTGAGGACTTGTCACCCTTTCCCCGAAGTGAGCCAGAACAGAGTTTCAGAGAGTCCTTTCGCCTTTGCGTTTGAAGGGGAGCCAGGGCCAGCGTTTCCAGCCACTGGGCTCTCATTTTCCGGCACGCTGCGGGTTTTGTGATTTTTTTAGGTCTCTTTTTGACCCCATACCCATGTCTAATTTAGTAAACCTTAGGAAAGTTGCAGGGTTTTTTTATAAGATATTTAGCTCCACAGGCATTAAAATTGCAGTGGCTGTAATAACAGGCCTGAATATAAAGGGTCATGCTGAATTATGCACGACTCCTGACTTTGGGCCGTTTCAGTGAACTAGAGTAATGCTTCGGGGGGGGGGGGGGGGGGGGGGGTGGCGGGCAGCCACCCTCCCCTTTGCTGCGGCCTGGGAAGAGTCTGAATTCAGGAATGACTAAAAGCAGAAGCACACAAACATGCTCTAAATGCCTGTATTTTCCCACCTAGGCCTTAGCGTGCAATAGCAGAGCTGTCAGGCGTCTGCTCACTGCCGCGTCAGAGGAGGACGACGGAGCCAGTAAAGCGCCAGCAAAGCTGAGCACAGGCAGCCTGCAACAAGCATTAGCTCCTGCATGTTGCAATGTTGCTGCCGAAGATCACAGACTCCCCAGCAAATGCAGGTATAATTTATAGCACAGGTACCCCTTCCCTTTCCCCCCCCCCAAAAAAAAAGGGAAGCACGAGCCACACTCACAAAACACAGCACTGACCACAGCGCATCGCTCCTGCCAGGCAGCTGGGGCGCGAGGACCTCGGGGTGGTCACAAACAGGAATTACTTAAGCCACGTTGTATTTTGTACAGAAAACCAAACACTGAGGAGAGAAAAGGGGACGATGAATCAGTAGTATGATCTTTTTTTTAACAAGCTATTTGTTTTACAGGTGATCATGGTACTACAGAGGTGTTTGCTTCCTCGGGACATAAACCATGAATAAATGCTTTTATAGCCACCCTCCTTCTCAAAAACACATAGAAAGAAAAGCAAAAAAAAAAAAAATCAAAGTAAACT